CACACACACACACACACACACACACACACACACACACACACACACACACACACACACATCCAAGGAAGGACAGGACCGAGAAGGCCAGAAGCCAGGGCTGTTATCCCACCTAGCAGTGCCATAGCCCTCCACATACAGGGGAAGTCTGCAGCTCTAATGAGACAGGGTGGTCTCACCAGGACTGGTGGACAGTCTGGACCTGCAGCCCACTGGCAATGACAAGGGAGGACCTCTCCCCCATCGCACGTGTGGCGTCAGAGGGCACCAGCCAAACCTGGAGACAACACACACACTGCCAGTGAAGAGCAGGATGACAAAACTTCTTTGGAAGATGGACTACTGAGAATGAACGTGCATGCACCCTCTGACCCAGCAACTCCGCTCAGAGGTTTATGCCTTAGAGAATTTCTTATATACTGGACTAGAAGACACAAAAATGTCCTTAGCATTATTTGTAAAAAAGAAAGACTGGAAGCCATGTAAATGTTCATCAATTGGAAAATGGATAAATAAATCATAGGATATTCATATCATGGAAGATTCAACAGTAGTAAAAATGAATAAACACCAGTTAAGCAAAAGGGAGAGAAAGGATTAACCCCAAAAATATTATTTCAGAAACTTATGCTGAAGAAAAAAAGCAAATCTATGTAACTACATTTATGTAAAAGTTCAAGAAGAGGCAAAATAGATTGTTTAGGACACATGTCACTGTGGTAAAACTCAGCAAACATAATCAAAACAAATTCAGGCGAGCAGACCCTACGGTGAGCAGGGGAGGACACAGTCTGGAGGAACACGAAAGAGACTACAGAGATCCAAACAACGTGCTACTTCTTTTTCTTTTTCTTTTTTCTTGGTACCAGGGATTGAACCCAGGGCATTGGCCCTGAACTATAGCCCCTGCCATTATTTTTATTTTGATATAAAGTCTCAGCAAGTCAAATTGCTTAAGCTAGGTTTAAACTTAAGATCCTCCTGCCTCTGCCTCCCAGAGTACTAGGATTATACAGACATGTGCCACTATGCCTAGCTTAATGTTCTATTGCTTTCTTGGTCATATATATATTTTTTTAATATATCATAATTGCATGCATCTTGGAGAAGTGGTACATATTCATATTGCAACCTGGTCATTTTACTGCTCTCTCACAGCACCACCCTAACCCCTGGGACAAAAAATGAAACACAGCCACTGTCTCCCACATGAAACAGAATTCTCCAATTCTAATTAGGCCAGGCTTGTATCATCAAGGACGCCCGCCCTGGGGGCCTGGAGCCTCACTGTCCTCCGTGCGGCCCTGTGGTCCCTGCTGCAGTGTTTGCTCCCTGGCAGGAACCCAGCAAACCAATGCCCATCCTCTCTGCACTGAAGCCCGGGGCTAACACAACAAAGTATGAGAGATGCAGCGACCCACCCACTTGTCTCCTCTCAAATCTTAAACTCCTAACCACTTCTGTGCACTGGGGTAGGGCGGACACAGTTCTGTATGACACACATTCGTTTTTAAGACTTAGAGGGAAAATTCAACTTGGCCAGACAATACCATAAAACTTTTCAGAACGAGCACTGAAAATCCCACCACGCACCTCCCTGGGAGCCTAGGCGGCGGCTCCAAGTGCTATGCAGGTCTCTCGGAGGACAGGGGATGAGGAAGGCACAGAGGAGCACCAGGACCATCGACACCCCCAGCGTCAGCAGGAAGATGGAAGTGCGCACGTAGGACACGAGGGAGGATGTTGCCTTCTGCTCCAGGCCCCCGAGGGGCTCCGGGGGGTACCCCTCTGTGGAGACTTCAGAGAGATGCGGCTTTGTGGGCCCAGCAGCCTCTGCATCGGAGTCAGGCTCCGGCGCTTCCCCCAGAGGACTCTTCCCATTTTTGACCCCTCCATTCTTCTGCTGCAAGTTAAGCACAAGATCGTCTTCGCTCTCATCACTGTCAGCCTGGGTGAGGGGATCATACTCCCCGAGGTCGGGGCTCTTCTTTCCTGAGAAGACAGAAGGACGGTGTCAAGGAGAACCAGCAAGGAGAGACCCTCACCATACCACAGCAACTGGCAACACCTCGGGAAACATGGAAAGCAAAAAACTGTGGGTTTACATCAAGCTCCGGCCTTGGCTACCTGTAAAACTAGATGCCAGCAAAGGGGTACCAGGGACAATGGGAGGAGGGTAAAGCACAGTACTTTAGAATCACTACCTGCACTAGGTTAGGAAAATTGGAAAGGATGCAGCAACGTGGGTGAAAATGGAGACCATTATATTAAATGAGATAAATTAGGAACAGAAAGACAAATACTGCACATCTATTCATTTATATGTGGAAGATAAGAACTTGATCCATACGGGTACAGAATAGAAGAGTGCTTACCAGAGGCTTAGAAGGGCGCGGGGACGCAAGGGATGGAGAGAGGATGGTTAGCAGGTAGAGGGGTGCAGCTGCATTGGAGGAATAACCTCTAACGTTCTCTGGTACAGTAGGTTAAGCATGGCTGACAACATTAACTGAATATTTCAGAATAGCTAATAGAGAAGATTTTAAAAGCTCCCCACCCTAAGAAATGTATATGCCAACCACCCTGACCTGAGCAGTACACATTGTATACATGCACTGAAATGTCACACTGAACCCTATAAACATGTACAATTACTATGTGCCAATTAAGCCAACAGGTACAGTGGCCCATGCTTATAAAGCCAACTACTCGGGAAACTGAGGCAGGAGGATCACAAGTTCAAAGCCAGCCTGAACACCTATCTAAGATAGATAGGCAGAGAGAAAGATAATAGATACAGACAGACAGACAGTGTCCCTGGGTTCAATCCTCAGTACCACCAAAAAAATATTTAAAAAGAAGATAAGCAAATTAGCAAATTTCAAATATCTTTAGTTTTATAAAAAGCTTTCTTAATTTGTTTGACTCCTATTTATTGAAAAAGTTATTACTCTGACATCAACTTTCCAGATACCTAACATGAGTCATTGCCTTTGATTTCTTAGATCTATGATGCCCTCATCTCTCTGGCAAACTTCTAGAACAATTCCACTCTGCACATTGCTCTTCGTGGTCCTCCTCGTGGCCTCCCAATTGTTCCTATGGAAACTTAGAAAACAGAACGCTGAACATCATCTGGAGATTTTACTGGAATCTCTCTTCTCAAACTGACCTGTGGTCTGAATGTCCTTTCAGTGCATCTTTCAGTACATAGTGATTACCTTTCAGACCGTGTCGTGAGCAAGCACCCTGGAGAGGGGACAACCTAGGAGGACAGTAGCCACAGGCTTGTTGAAAGCTGGTTTGCTCAGCAAGCACTGTTTTTACTTGGATCCTGTGTTGACTTGGAAAGACTAAGAGACGGAAATTAGAGGAGGACGATGGGCATCTCCTAAGTCAACCCCTGGTCCTCACTAGTCATTTAGTCCAATGACTAAATGATTTTATGCCTTTCTTTCATGTTATAACCAAGAAAAACTCCCTTTTCTTGGAAATTTACCTGGCAAACTGCTACTAATATAAATGCTACAGTTAAATCTTTTGTTCAGAAGCAAATTAAAAAAGAAAACACAACTCAGCTCATGAGAAGAAAAACTCTTGATGCAAACCTCTGCCTCTGGGTCACTCAGTGACCTCATTTCCCTTACCAGATCTGTTTGCTCAACACCAGATATGAAGCAATAAATCATGATAATGGGGGCCAGACGTGGAGAGGAAAACCTTTAGTCTAAAGTTTAGTATTTGGTACACAGAAAATCAACAAATGTTTGATGTTAAAAGAACAACGTTCCACAGAATTATTTTATAACATTAAGCACTACAAAAAACCTACAGATAGGGCTGGGGATTTAGCTCAGTGGTTTCGCTGGCTGCCTTGCAAGTGCAAGGGCCTGAGTTTGATCCCCGGTAGCAAAAAGAAAAAAAAAAATCCACAGATAGTACTAAGTAATATGGAAGTCTAATAACTAAAAAATTTTGTTTCCATTTAAAAGCTATTCGTTTGTCAAGTAAACTTTGGATTTGATTTTTAAAGGCACAAATTTTAAGAAAATAAACTGATTATTGGGAATTTAATTCAAAATAGTACTTCCAAGATATGCTGTAGGGTCAGGCTGCTCTCCTACAATGTAGAGTCCTACTGTATGATGCAAATATTTTTGTTAGAGTACTCCCTTCTATATCTACCCCATGTAACTCAGTATATAATTTACAAACAGAGCCAAAACTCGTTATGATAACATCAGCTCTAAAACTTTTTGAGTGCTTTTGTTTTGGTTTTGATTTTGGTTTTGGTTTTTTGAGACAGGGTCTCACTATATAGTTGAGAATGACCTGGAACTCACTATGTAGCTCAGGCTGGTCTCAAACTCAGCAATCCTCCTGCCTCAGCCTCCCGAGTGCTGGGATCACAGGAGTGCACCACCATGCCCAGCTTGGTTGTTTTGTTTTTAAATAAAATACACCTGACATGACAAGCAAACTATGGTACACATATGCTATGTATTACTGTGTGGTCTTAAAAAGGAAGGAAATGCTAGCACATGGTACAGCATGGATGAAGATCAAGGACATCACACAGAGTGAAACAAGCCAGACATGAGAAAATAGGCAGCATGATTCCACTTTCATGAGGTTATCTAGAGCAGCCAAATTCACAGAAACAGAAAGTAGAATGATGATTTCCCAGATCTGGAGGAAATTGGTGGTTGTTGTTTAGTAGGTACAGAGTTTCAGTTTTACAAGATGAAACAGCCCCAGAGTCTGGCTTCCTAATAATGTGAACAGGCATAGTCTTGAATTATATACACTTGAAGTAGTTAAGACAGTAAATTTTATGGTATCTGTATTTTGTACAATTTTTTTAAATATACCTGACAAAGAGGAAAACATATACAAAATCCCCCAATCTTCAGAGCTGGAAGATATTCTAAAGATCACATAACCCCCTCCTGACCCTATTCCAAACTTACACATGTCCTTACAAAGGACAAGCAGTCACTCAGGATCCACTGGCCTCCAGCCTAGAAAACAATGCTTTCCACTGACCCGAGAACCTGTTTCTGGGTAGTTGCCACTTCCACATTTAAGTCCTTTTACATACTTGCAGATATCAGAGTCACAGAGGATTTAAGAGCTCAGGTTTTCACAAACAAAAGACAAATCTTGGCCCTCTTATTAACTGTGTGACCTCAAGTTTCTTAACTTCATGGAGCCTCACTTTCCCTGGTTATGAAATGGAATAATAACTGTTCCTGTCTAGGAGGTTCTTTATAAGTAGTAAATATGAAAGTACGTTGATTGTTCTTAGTGCCTGGCTTATGTTCATAATCAATGACTTGAGCTTCTATTGGTATAATTACCATTACCATGATTGTCATTATTTTTCCCAAATGTCCCTGGCCAGCCTCGAATCTCCAAGTTAAACACCTTCACCTCTTTCAACACATTGCTTAATAAAGCCTTGTTTCAGGTGCCCTTAACTCTCCTCAGACACAATGTGATAGGTCAGTACTTTTTAAGGCACATTTTCAAAAAATAATATAGTCCCAGGGCACTGACCAGTGAAAGGGAGGACAGAACTGTACTCCTGTTACTCCAGATAGTGATATAGGGGGACAGATCTAACTGCCAAACCTGCTAGATATCTGAAATGCCAAGTTCATGTTCTCTAAAATGGAAGAATGAGTTCTAAGAACAAAGCAGATTAAGAATAGGCAAAATTAATTGAGAGAAAGATAGCTTCTGTCTACGAGAGACAGAAGGGGGACTGGAAAATGGGTTGCTCCACACACTTAACTTCTCAACCACGAGGTGAAGCAGGTTCAAGGTGCAACAAAACCATAGTCAACTAGTAAGATTATAAGTATGATCACTTAGGTAATATCAATCCAATGAGAAAACACAAGGTGGTCAAAACTATGAACGACCAATAAGATTATGACAAGTATAGTCGCTTAGGTAATACTGATTAAATGGGGGTCCAATAGGGAAACAAGTCACATAGCAAGAGTACAAGGAATGAGCAAGGATTTTCGGTGAGGGATAGGTCAGGCATTTTTCTTGGAAGATCTTGGTCCTCCACCAAGGTGACTGATACCTATTTAGAATATCAATCACTGCTATTCCTATGCAGGCATGGTAGTTTCTTTCACAATGCTGGCCTCAGTGAATGTGTCTTGGCTCCTTCTGGGCTGGTCCTGTCTAACTGCCTACAAGATAGCTAATTAACTTACCTATCTACAATAATAGCACATTACAATTCAATCACTGCAGTCTAAAATTGTGATCACTTTCTTGGCAGTCCCATCACACAACTGATTCAACTAAAACTTCTAAGCACTTTTAACACAAGTTCAAACCATCCTATAATTTTGTGCAATTGGACTCTTAGCACCAAGTTAAAAAGTTAGCATCAACACCTACTTTATTCAGCCCCTCTTATCAGTTTCCACCTTGCAACAAACATAACCTAAAATAGCAACTTAGCCAAAGTGAAATCATTAATAAAATAGTGGCTAACAAAATATTTAAAGGAAATTCATTATCATATACTGTCACAGGTAGGAAGGAAGAAAACTTGACTATATGCTACAAAACTGCAGAAAATCATTGATGAATCTATAAAAATAATTTGCAAGCATTCTTGGAGGGAAAACACTGTTGAACTGGTCCTCACTGGTCCTTTTAGAAGGACTCCACCACTACAGTTATTGGTGGCATAGGAAGGCATTTCTGTAACACTATTAAAAAAAACAGAAAAAAAAAATATAGGAACGAGCCCACAGTCCCAAACCACAATTATGAAGAACAGTTGCCAGACACAGTGACACGTACATCTAATCGAGGAAACACCATAAAAGTTGGCACATGCACTAACAAATTTTCAGCAAGGATAAAAGTTTACAGAATTGATGATAATAATAATAATAATAATAGCAAGAAGTGGGAATGTATTGTTTACCATCCCAGACACTGGTCCGTTTTCATGTATTGATTTATTTAGCCCTCACAACAACCCTGCATGGTGGTTATTATTATTCCTATGTTATCAATAGGGAAACTAAAATATATAGTGCTAAGTTGCCTAAGATTACAGAAGTAGCAAGAAGAAAAGCCAAGATCCAATCCATGCATTTGACTGCATAGTTTGTTTTAACTGACAAGCCGTACTACCACCTCCTTGTTTCACAAATACATAACTCATCCAGTAATGTTTTGCTTGCAAAGACAAAGTCTAGAGTCACAGCAATGCCTATGAGCCCCATTCAGTATCACATAGGCAAGGAGAAAAGTGCAAGCTAACATCTCTACAAGCAACCTTTCAGTACAGCAGGTTAAAAAAGTCACTATAGGCACGGTCAATTTCTGAAGAGGCAGATTTTGTTTTTTTGTCATTGCTGATTGTTTGTTTGGACAGACTAGGCCTCCTGAGGAAACAGGAACCAGACAGTAATTTGAAGATAATTCAATTTTTTAAAAGTATTAAGCAATATAGGACAGTAAATATAAAGATAGGAAGATAACTTAAAGGTACCCTATGGCTAAGGAATAGTAACCAAAGAAAAGTAAACTTGACATTTAAAGGAGTCCAGACCCACTTTCACAGATCAGATCACAAAGGTTAACCTGAAGTTCAGGAGCAACAGGCTGAAACACAGACAACAAATCAAGAGAATCAAAGGCTTTACCAGCACTTTCAGGCTCAGTGATAAGCCATTATTCTTCTCCTGCGCTAGGAAAGAGAGAAAACAGGGACAAGTGCTGGGGAGAGATCACAGTGAGCAGGCATACAAGAAATTCTAGCTCCCGGCTCACTCCTCCAGCCCCTGCCTCTACCCAAATGTTAGCCAACGGCTCTTAGCCCCATTTAAATGTAACAATCAGAAAGAAATATTACCAGCATTCATTCCACAAAATACCACCGAGTTCTACAAATATTCAAGAAAGAGGTGACAACACGACACAGCAAACAAAGTCAGTCAAAGGATCAACACTGCAGCAATTCTATCGTAAGATGGAAGAAACAGTGAATAGTTGCTTCCCTGGGGAGTTCAGGAAATTAAAGAAAATGTTCTTCTCTGAAATACGGGATCAAAGAAAGATATAATGTTTCCAGGAAGAAAGGGCAAAAAAAAAATGAAAAGTAAATAAGCAAGATCGGGAAGATAACAGAAGATAATAAAGCAATTTTAGAAAAGAAATCCTTATTGGAATCAGACTTAGAAACATAGAGCATAGAGTAGTGACAATCTAAGCAAAATAAAATGAAAGAACGAGGAGTCTTGAGCACTCACTAGAGACTCCCCCAAGCCCTTTCCAAGTTTCTAGGAATCTCAGTAACACCTCTTAGAGGTGGGCATGTTATTGTCTTTCCTGTTCTAGATAAAGAAATTGAGGCCTGGAAGTCTAAGCAACTGTCTGTGGTTAAACAATGAATAATTCAAAACTAGTCAGTCTGGCTTCAAGGTCTGCACTGACTACCCCCAGCCTTGATCTCACCAGGTAGTCCAGTCTGGCCTCAAACTTGTGGTGATCCTCCCACCTCAGCCTCCCAAGTGCTGGGATTATAAGCCTGGGCCACTACACCTAGTAATCAAGGCATTTTAAAAGACTAGAAAGAGCTAGATAGATATAGAGAAGAAAGGTGAGCACATGCATAACTCCAGAGAATAGAAAACAAAACCAAAAACAGTGTTGAAAAAAAGGGAGGAGTAGAGAATGGGAAACAAAGAATTAAGATATATCATGTATATGTACAAATTCCCTATGATGAATGGTATCATTATATACATCTAAAATGTATCAATAAATAGGAATTATAAAATAAAGGAGACACAAACCGGGTGTGCTGACACACACCTGTAATCCCAGCACTGTCCCAGCACTCAGAGGGCTGAAGCAGGAGGATCTTGGTCACATACTGAGTTCAAGGTCAGCCTGATCTATATAGTGAGACCCTGTCTCAAAAAAAAGAAAGAGCAGATACCAAAATGTATCTGCAGTAATGCAAGACCTAAAACTGTACAGTAAAGGTAGACAGAAGCCAAAAATAATGACATGGAATAATCGATAATGAAACATATCCTCGTAAAAGCACTGGGCTTCAAGGACAAAAAAAAACAAATACTATGAGCAGCCAGTACAAGGGAAAAAGAAGCAAATCCCTGATGACGAGGGTGGACTTTTCCACTGCAACACACAGAAGACAGTGAAGCAATATCTAAAAACAAGTCCCACAACTCTGACATCTCTGAAGTACACAGGTGAGCGCACACGAAATCAGAGCAGCCATACAGCTTTCTGTGCTCCTTTTAAAAGAGCACAGATTATGGCCAGTTCCTGATCAACTTCTGCAGTACGATAGATACTTACTAACAAAACTGCTCACTCTGATCTCAGCTTAACTGTTACTGTCTGCATGATTTGACTACAGCAGTCCTAAATGATTTTGTTTTCGGTGTATTCGCAGAAAGACAACAAGAGAAAGTATAAAGAAGCTCTCTGACTTGCCTTAGGCCACACTCAGGCTTAGAAGCTGGACAAAGAATCCATGCTTCAAAGCAAGAGCACTTAGCACTGATTTTCATTTCTGCTGCTTTCAGATTTTTAATCAATGAAAGATGTACCAATATTAACAAGCTTTCTACACTGCTTTTCCTCCAAGGGAGATAGAGGATGCCAGCTAAGTATCATTTCCAACATGGTAGAGAGGAAGTCACTAAAGAAGTCCTAAGTATACTATTATGCCATTCCCGAATGTTTTCAGGAAAATACACTGAAGTGTGTAATACCCTAGAACATACATATATATGTAGTATACACTATACACATACTATGGAATATGTAACTGTAGCTAAGGGTAAATAATTCATATCATGGATTAGTTTATCCAGAGCCACAATCCCTCCAATCACAAGTAATAAAACTGTAAAAATAATATTATGCTCCGATATTCCCTTCAGTGTTTGACCTTCAATCTTTAAAATGACCTAAAAATATATATACTTAAGAGATAAGTTGTTCCACAGGCTTTATGAATGTCGTATTGTTCTTCTGTTATTAATTAACCTCATGTCATACATGTGAGCCAAACATCTTTCCATCCTGGGCTTAGTGAAAGGATATAAGAAATGCATTCCCAGCTACTGTTGTTACATTACTAGGTTGTTGAGGTCTGTGCACAGTGACAATTGTATCAGTCTTTCTTTCTTGGGGTACCACATTCAGAAATGAATGTGATGCTACTCATAATAAGAACAATAGGTAACAGGTCAGAAGTTAAGTACATCCATCTCTTTTAGTACTCCAGATAGTGTAAATATGAGGTAAATATTTTGCATAGCTTGTGACATGTAGTGAATGTTCCCTAGTAACATTATTATTACAGATAGGGAAAGTAAAGCCTAAAGGGATTAAGCAGTTAATCAGGTGAAGACTGGATTTGAACCTGAGCCTGTGTCCTGCTCTTAGCCACCATTCTATTCTTCCTTCTTCAAACAAAACAAGACAGAATGTTAACCGGGATAATATGACCCAAACAAGACCACTGTCTCACATCCCATTACACGATATCCAAAAAGACAGCAACTTCTACCTAACAGAAAAGCCCAAAATTGTATTGTGGGTGGAGTGGAGAAAGGACAAGAGAGAAACCAGAAAAAGTACAAGTGGGAAAAGAAATCTGTATCACATAAAAGAACATACGGTTAAGTATATCCAGACTTAAAAAAGTATCCATCATACCTTCAGACTCAGAGCCAAGCTACTGGACAGACACAGGCCCAAGGACAGAGCTATGGGATCCCTTACCACTAGTATCAGCTGACCAAGATACTACAGCTGAATACTCCAGAGAATACAAATGTCACAGCCTCGGGATGGGAAACCACAAAAGAGCTCAAGCGTTTCTAAATCAAGATCTTCTTGCATTCTCATCCTCAAAGCATAACAACTAGCTATGCTGAAGTAAAACAAGGACTGAAAAAGAAGAGGAGGAGTAGGAGGAGGAGGAAGAGGGAGAGGGGAAAGCAAGCTAAATATGTCTGACACTGGAGTGGATATCATCCTATACTAAGGCCACTCTGCGCAGCAGGTCAATCCTGCAGGTAAAGCGGCTTGTCTCTCATTTCATTCCAATATAGCATTATCTACACATTCCAAGGTAGACATTATCAGTGTTCCATCCATGCTCTAATGAGCCCTGAGGGGGGAAAAAAATCTGTCTGAAGTCCCGAAGTCTTGAGCACAGGAATGCAAATTCACATCCAACCCGGAGTCACCCACAGCACGAGGATCCAACAGTCTGGAAGCTCCTTGAGAACAAGGCCCCTAGATTCCTGGTATTCTCCACCCAGCGCCCCACTAACCCTTTCTACCATGGCAGGGAAAGCAATCGCCTTCCTCTCGAACATTTTAAGTTATGAGCAAATATATGCTTATAACTTAATGTTTAAAATTTATACAGCACTCTAAAATTTTCTGAAGCCGAAGTGTTTAAAAGTTACTTGGGCAGAATAAATACACTTTGATTAAAATAGCAAGTTTCTAACAGTACAGTTCTATGCTAGCAGTTTAAGATGAAAGGAGAAAAAAACTTGGGAGCTGCTGCCCAAAGTACTGAATCACCTCTGGAAGCCGTCATCGCCACCAGCACTTCCTTAAAGAATGTTCCAACATGACAGGCTGACAGGTGCCAAATCGCTTCCCACTTTTCGCTTCAGCAACCAGAGACTAAATGTAGGCGAAAGCTCAGGATCTAGAGTCCAAAACACCCCTGATGCTCACAGGCTTCTCCAATACTGCTTGAGGGACCCTGGACAATTCCATTAGCCATCCTCCGTTGTTCCTGCTTTCCTGGGAAGGGAAACACCTGTCTCCCGCAGCCCTCTGCCGCGCCACGGCTGTCATTACGTGGAGAGGCTGCTCCACTCACTCAGGGTCACTTTCCTCCCTGCAACCCCTGCGCCCGCCCAGGTCCAGCCCAGCACGGTACTGGTCCTCGGCTCTGCTGAAGGATGCTCCCCTCACCGGCCCGGCCTGGGGGACCCCAGCGCCCGCCCCGCAGCCCGCGCAGC